GTTTTTTTTTTTGTTTCAATTTTGTTGCATTAGAAATAATATAGCATTCTAAATAATAAAGTTCAACAAGTAATGGAATAGTGATGCACACATATAGATACGCAAAGGCAAAAAAAGAAGAAAAAGGTCAGTCTATTCAGCAGATGGCTATAGTAATGAATATGATAGAGAAATACTCATGCTTGAGGAAATATCCTCATGATTGATCATTGACCCAGACAGCTCACTTTCTAGATAGAAGAAGAATATTTCCTCTTTATTCATCATCATCATCAGAAGATAAGTGTGTTGCACATTCGAGAAGACATGACTTTTCAACGGTTGATTACTGGAAAAAGAAAAAGAAAAAGAAGAGCATTGTATATTTTATCCATTGGTCATATAATCATTCGAAGAAACTGGAATAAATATATCTCTATCTATTGCTTTTCTATTTATAAGATTATTATTTATTTCTTATAATATCATTGAATTTTTCAAAACAAAAAAAAAATTAATTAAAATTTTTATAAAATTTTGAACTATATTGTTATATGTTAACATTTACCTTGACCATTGAAAATTATATACCATTTTGAGGTTAAATAAGTAACATTTAAATGCAAGGTTAAGCCTTGGCATATTTCTTAAATTGACGACAACGATAACTCCTTTTTTTTGTTCTATTGTAATATGCTTACGTACACTTGTATTTATACATCAAAATGTATTACACAATTTCATTCTTTTGTTTGTACACTTACATATATATATAAGATAAGAATTAAATCATTGTTGTTAGTCAAAGCAATCATTACTCAAAAGTTAACTAACTGGAGCTTTTAGTTACGTTGATTTTTATTAGTCATAACCTTTCTATAGTTTTAAGAAAGTATTAATTGTTCTTCATATTTTAATTTATGTTTATTTAGATGTTTTCTTCGATTTTTATTTTTATCGTTAGTATCACCTTAATTCAATGTGAATGGAATGAAACTATTGTTCGTCAATATCGTCCACTTCCATCATATTTCTTCGATGAAATTGTTATTGATGGAGCTTTTGATATATATTTGAGTCAATCAAATGGAGTATCTCTTCCTACAGTTGAATTAGAAACAACAGTTACTGCTCAAAGACATATTCTTATTGAAATTCTTGATAATCATATTTTATCAATTCATTTTAAACGTCCATTTGTTGTTCATAAAAATATTAATGCTTATATTCAATTTCATTCGCCATTACGACGTTATACAATTAAAGGTACAGGTAATACAATAACAGATGATCATGGAATATCAAATACAGGCAATGACAAATTTATATTAGAAAATCGTGGTACAGCTAATGTTGCTATGCATTTAAATGTTTATGAATTAGAAGTATATTTATCTGGTACGGGTAATAGTCGATTTTGGGGTCAAGTACGAGAACAAGCATTATTCGACACAAAAGGAGTTGGTGATGTTAATGCTATGAATTTATTAGCTAAACAAGTTAAAGTTCATTCATCGGGAGTAAGCACAGTACGAGTAGCAGCTACAGATGATGCACAAATTGAAGTTACGGGTGTATCAACTGTTTATTATCGATTACTTAGTGGTAAAAAACCAAGTAAAGAAATATCAACTGGACTGGGACAAATTATTTCTATATCTTAGAAACTATGTAATATATTTTTGTAAAAATTATTTATTGATAAATAAAATCTTTTAAGAATATTTACTATAGAAATATGTAAAGCAAAAAGAAAAACAACTTTGTTCTATTTTTAGAATCCAGGCATGAAAACATATTTACTTAAATCATTCTCTTACTCTCCAATCTTATTGGGTAAAAACTGGATATATAGCATACACACCCAGTTTTGTATCAGTAATAACTTCTAGAAAAGAACAAATTTGAATCATACAAATCTTGAAATTATTTCATTCACTGATGGCAAGAATTTACTGAAATATACATTCATATACATATAAGGAATTAGTTTTTTTCCTTTTCTTATTCACGTAGAGAATGACTCATCGAGTTATAATTTCACCATACCTTGACAATCCTATGACAGGAGTATAAAAACAGACGAAGAAAAAATATGCTTTACTCTAAATATTTTTTCTTCACGGTAAATAATGTCAACGACAACAATACCTTTAAAACGTATTACTTTATACAAAAATGATCTCGGTTATTTTGAACGAGCTACTCCTCGATCACAATCACAATCTGTTATTCAAGTAGCTAAAAAGAAGAAGAAATTAGTGATTGATACATTATGTACAACTGCTGATACGGTGACATACGATACAGAAGAACATGATAAATTTGTAGCCGAAAATACAGTTGAACGATATTTTACTTTCAATGATTTTTCATCATCAACTTCATTTGCCTCATTTCTTAATACATGTATTGGAGCTGAAGTTGTATTATCAGTTCATGGTAATAAACAAGAACAAACAGGTAAACTAGTTTTACTTGATGAAATACCAACATTACTCAGTCCAAATTCATCGGAAGTATCAAAACATCATATTGTTCGGATATTAACTAAAGATGGATTTATTCGTCATTTTGATCGTAAGTATAAAATATAAAATCTTACATATAAATATAAAATATATTTTCTAATTAGTTAATTCTATTGATGGTATTAAACTAACGGATACATATTTACAAGAACAACTTGAAAAAGTTTTAAATAAAACATTAGATGATCATAAACCAGTAATGAATACATCATCGGATTATATTCGAATTTTATTCAATACAAATAATTTATTACCATCATCTACAGCCGTTACTACAAGTATACCTGATCAATCAAATATGCTTAATGTATCATATTGTTATGCAACAAAAGAATGGCGTTGTTTATATCGATGTGAAATTGATTCATCTATAGCAAATAATAATACATCAAAAGTTGATTTAACTTTATTTGGTTCAGTTCAAAATCCAACAGAAGAAGATTGGTCTCAAATTGAACTTGTACTTATTGCTAATGAACTTGAAATTTTAAATAATAATAAAACAACAACATCAGTTACTGGCCGTGATTCAGAAAAAGAGGAATGCATTTCAGAATCTTCTGGTGGTGGTGGTATGCAGGTTTTTATTAAAACTTTGACAGGCAAAACAATTACCTTAGACGTATGTAAAAATAAGGATTCGTTTATATTTTATTTTTTATATTTCATTCATGACAGATTAGTGCAAGTGATACAATTGCAACGCTTAAAGCAAAAATTCAAGATAAAGAAGGTATTCCACCTGATCAACAGCGTATGATATTTGCTGGTAAACAACTGGAAGATAATAGAACATTAGCTGATTATAATATTCAAAAAGGTAATTTAGAATATGAAGAAATAAATTGTAACTCTTTATTTTATGTGTAGAATCAACTTTACATTTGGTACTTCGATTACGTGGTGGTCCAGTTGAAGATGAAAGTTCTGTTAAAGGTAAAGGAAAGGGTGGTAAAAAGCGTGTTGTTGATGTTAATGACGATGAAAATTATGAATCAATTGATTCCAGTCAAATGAGTGGTCTTAGTGAACATGTTGTTTATACAATTAATACACCAGTAACCATTCGATCACATGAAAGTGCTTTGGTAACAATTAATAAATGGCATATGGATGCACAATTAGTACTTTATTATGATCCAAAAATTAATGATTTAAATGCAATTAAAGCAGTTCATTTACGAAATAATAGTGGTGTTGTATTAGCACCTGGAAGTATTGCTGTATTAGATAATGGACGTTTTGTTGCACAATGTGCTTTTACACCAATGTTACCTGATGATGATCAATTAATTAAGTAAATTAAAATAAGAAATTAATTTTCATCTTTTTATTTAATGATTTATTATAGTTATGGTTTCGATTCAACTGTTTCTATTCTTCGTACAACGCCATTATCACTTCAAGAAGTTCATACACAAAGTGTTGATATAGTTTATTCCGAAGCAAATAAAATTGATACACGTATAATTCCAATTGGTATTGATCTTCAAGAAAACTATATAAAACGTACACGTTATTTAATTAAAAATAATTCTCTTAATCGTCCTGTAGCAAAATTTTATATTGATCATGTTGCTGATCCATCATTAGGTGGTTATGTTGTAACAACACAAAAGAAATGTATTAAATCTGTTATGGGTTTTAGTCGTTTTGAATTTAAACTTGAACCACAAGAAGAAATCGAATTTATTGTTGATGAACAAGCACAAAATAGTAAAAAGATTTTCGAAGCAACTGGATTAGAAATATTCTTAGATAAACAAGTTCCTGAACTTATTCAATCGAAATTAATTGATGAAAATACAATTAATATCATACAGAAAATAATTACACGTAAATATGTTGAACAAGTTCTTCGACATATGAGTGATAATACAATAACAGATAGAGAAATTCGAACATGGACAACAAAACGTGATTTAATACCAACATCATTATTTGATAAAGCTGTTACCATTGTTGATTTACAATTAATTATACGTGATTTAGATACACGAATTAAATCACGTGAAGCACATATTAAATCAATATTTGAAAATCAAGATCGTATTCGACAAAATATCAAATCATTAGAAAACATCAATCAATCAGATTTATTAACAAGATATTTAAAAGATTTAAATACAGAAGAAGATGATTTACAAGAAACACGTCGAGAAATTAAAACAATGCAAGATGAATATAATCTAAAACAGAAGGAATTAGAAGAAAAACAAGCTTCACTTAAACACGAAGCAAAAGAAACACAAAAAAATACGAAAATGTAAACTGCTTTTTTTCTTAAATTTTAATAAACTAGAATTTGATCTTCCAAACCTTTTGTTAGACAAAACATATTTCATGAGTCCAGAAAAGTCAGATTTTTGTCTAATGTATGAAAACGTTCTTGAAAAGAGACTATATAGAATTGCATTTTGAGGGTGTGGAATTCATCCGCACCCACACCCTCAATCGAACAAACGACAGGATCAATTACTGCATAATATGTATGCAATTATTTCAATGAAATGCAACATTCTTTCATATACACAATTATATATAAAATTCTTTATTTTTATAATGATAAAATGCAAAGGTAAATTTTACATTTAAAAAATTTTTCAATAAATAGCCGTAGCTGGAATGAATTTACTCAGATATTTAAATTATAACAGAAGCTATGTAAAGTAACACGAAAATATCACAAATAAAAAAGACTTAAATTACAAAAGAGATCATGTATAAAATGAGTTAAAAATATACTATAGTGCAGTGTTTTCCTCGTTTTCGTCACTATCAGACACATTTAATGGAAGGCCAACTAAATGATCAATAGCATTTATTGAATTTGAATTTTTATTATCCAATTTGTATGATTTTAAATCTTCAAGTAATTGTTTAATTTCAACTTTTATTGGATCAAAATGTATATGATCTTGTAATGATGGTGTATCATTTAAATTGTCGAGATTTTGATTAAGTTCATCAATACGTTTTTTTTATTGATGAAAGTATTTGATTTTGATTAGTAGATGGTGATTTTGATAATGAATCAATTGCATTGACGGTCGTTTCCATATGAGCTAATTGTTTTTTATAAACTTTGTATAATTTTATATATTTGGGATGTGATTTATATTTATATTTGATTTTTGATGCTGTTGGTGGAGATGAAGATTTTGGACCGTTACTTAATGCTACAGGATGTGTTCCAGATGTATGAGACACCGAGTGGTGAGATGCTGATTTCTTATCGTCACTTTTTGATGCATATGGTGATTTGCCTTTGTATGTTGGATCTTCAGCTAAAAATCTATGGCTTAAACTTTCTGAACCCATTTTTATTGTATTTTTATATTAACTTCTGAAAGAATAGATAACGTAGCATAAATATATAGAGAGAATAAAATAGAGAAAAAAAAAGAAAAAATTGCTTTTATTTTTTGAGTCAACTATTTTTTTTTTATTTGCTTTTTTCTTTCAACACCTCTTTCGTTCTTATGAATGTTAATGAGAGATTTACATAAGAAAACATGAAACCAGTACATTTGATATATGTTAGTCATTAGTAAAGAACATTTATATTTCTAAAACAATATTCCATACGTTGACAGTACCTGACAAAAGCTAAATGACACAAGCAATGTTTTTTTAAATGCGTAAAATCGAATTAAATACTATTGACGAATACTCTTCGTCGCTATTTTTTTTTCTTTCTTTCTTTCTTTCTGTTATGATCAACATGATGACACAACATTTCAAAGGTAACAAGAAATCGGTGATATACGCATTTATATTGTTTCTATTTCAATAAAAGAATAAAAAGAGCAAATAGTAAGATCGAAATGGTGATACAAGAAGGTTTATGAAGGGCAGATAATGAAATTGGTTGAGTAGAACTAGATGTTGATGATGTAGTTGTCAATGCATTACGACATTGAGTAAAATCTGGTAAACCATTAGGTGAACGAGGAATTTGAACTGAAGGTAATGACCATGCAAGATCCTCACCTAATAATGGTTTGGAACCAAATACTCGTGACCATTCATATTCAGTTATATTAAAAAATCGTTGATAAGTTTGATCTCTCATAAGAATTTGTCGAGTAACATTAATTAAATGAGAACTAAGCATCGCTACTACAGTTGTTATTTTTGAATCCCATGTTATAACTGGTGATATAGTTAAACCATTCACATTTGTTGCTTCTGTACTTCCATACATATTCTGCATAGCTGGACCTTGAAGCATATTTAAATACCATGCTAATCCAATCGATTCATTAGCCATAATTACAGGAAAACTTGCATAAGGTGTAATAACAGATGTATGTTCAACTGGTTGAAAAGCAATTTGTTGAATACCACATGCACTATAATAATCAACTTGATAAGTACCAACTTTAGCATCTGATGCTACACTAGCATACAGACCTGGTATACGATTTCGTGCTGAATGATGTACACGTACTTTTTCTCCACTAATAAAAAGACGTTTTTGAAGATCAATATCTTGATATGGTAAATATAAATATTTCCATTGTTCATGACTTGAAAACCAAAAACCACGTTGAACAGTTACTTGTTTTGGAGCATCAGTACCTGTATTGTATTCATCACGAATAAGACGAGCTCGTTTATATTCCCAAAGACGATTACGTTCCTCCATTGTATAATTATAGAATGCCCATGGTGCATATAAATCCATATAATAAGTCATTAATTCACCTAATGAAAATAAGTAAAAGATTAATTTAGAAACAAAAACATATATATATATGTACCTTCATATGGATCATCTAATAAGCAGTCACCATTTGTTTCATAATTATTTGGATTTGTCATTTGACTTTCGTTAAATAGATTCAATATACGTGATTCACAACGAAGACCACCTCTTCGAGCTTCATAAAATACTGGTATAGCTGTTAGTGTCATAAGTTCCAAACGCCGTTCATATTTATCAGCTAAAGAAAATAAATTTTTATTTTTAAGTACATCAATTAATATTTTAATGCTCCATATCAATTGTCCATTATCCAGGCCAGGTACTTTCGATTCCCAACCACCCAACAAGTTCATAGCTGTACCATTTGCAGCAAACCAAGGTAAAAATCCACCAAAACCAGGATAACGTCGATGAAAATCATTATATGATTCAATTTTTCTCTCTAAAATTTGAATAACATCATTTTGAGATGCATTACCAAAAAACTGTTGTGCATATATATTATCCATAAAATATAATGCAAGCATATTAATATGTAATGCTTCTTTTGATGCTGCTGTCCAATATTGTAAATTTTCATGTAAATCACCCGTTGTATAATCAATTTTATGACCATCATAAGTAATACCTATTTCATGATTATATCCAACTCCATTACCAAATTTTCCTTCCCATAAACACATATGCATTTTAAATCGATGAATAGCATTATTTCGATCCGAAACAAGTTCATCTATAGTAAATAAATCCCCAAATCGACATGTCGTTTGTCCATGTAAAACTATTACACTTTGGACA